TCGAAGACAATAAAATACAAAAACACTTTAACTTAAGTTATCAAATAAGGAGTAAAAGATTTGTACAGTAAAGTAGTTCCACGATTTTCACCCATTATTTATATATGTTTTTTTGGAAACACATCAACATATGTAAAAATATATCGGTAATTCCTTTTCTCCAAGTTCATTTGATAAATGAAATATTAATGAATTTGATCAATTTCGAGTCTGATAGGCTTCGGGTCTAATCGGTTTCGGGTTTAATCGCTTTCGGGTTTAACCGGTTCAGGTTAAATCAGATTCGATCTGAATCGGGTTTGAATACATTCGGTTTTGGTTTAGATCATTTTGGGTGTTCGGTTCTATTTTGGTTCTATTTCAGTTCTTAAGTTTTTGGGTCAATTCGGGTTCAGTTCTAGGTTATTGTGTTTGATTATCAGGTCTGAATCAGTTTTGTCAGGTCTAATAATTGGTCACCTCTCTCGAGTGACTCCACTAGTCACTTTCTCTTAATCTTTGTATGTCATTCTGGATGTCTTTCATATTTGACCAGTCACTTTCCGTCTTTCTTTAATATTCGGCCTCTGTACGGATTATACCCATCGAGTGGGATGGACAAAAAAATGAAACAAAAACAATGGGATGTAGGAAATATTTAGGTTGTATAAAAAATTTGTGGCCGTTATTCTTTTTATGTGTGGTTTATCAAACTACAAACCATTGAGAAAATTATACTTTATTCTTTCCTATTATATTAGTGCATTTTTATTTTACAAGATTTAAGAAAGTTATTGAAAAGTAAAAAAATGTGTAGTTAAAATTTGTTTAGAAAGAGAAATATTGATAGCCACATATTCATTGCCAAAATATGAAAATAAGCAAAACGTGTAAAAAATTTTATGGGACGTCCTGAAATCAAAAGTGTAAGAAATTCTATGGAACGGAGGAAGTAGGAGTCAGGAGGCACAAAACATACAAAAAAATGGAGGGACTAAAATAAGAATAAAACATACAGAAAGAATCAGAATAAGATCATCATGTTTTTATTTCTTAAATAAGATATTAATGGACAATAAATCCACCAAATGATCCGACTAGAACGACGGATCGAAAGAATTAACAATAGACAAGAACTCGAGAATTCTGATTTTATTTGCTTTTTTCAGCTTGAGGATCCTCATTTGGGTCCTCTCTATTTATACATGATTTTCAAGCAACTATGGTAGTTCACAATTAGCGGGCGCGATCCCCTTTCTTCGGCTATGTCTCCGCCTTCAGCTGAGTTTCCTCCCTTGATCTGGGCTCCTCCACCTGTCTCTTCATTGGGTTAGTCCAGGCCCAGGTTCTTGGGCCGGCCCAAAATCACTACATGTCAGCTCTAGTGACCCAGCGGCATTTGGGCGCGATGTTTGGGCCGCCTGTTGGGTATCGGCCCATCACAAGCCCCCCAACTCCTCATTCCTCAAGCGGGCCACGTTTAGGGATGGGGAGTTTATGAGGTCCACGTGGACGCCCCCTCAACAGATCAGATCCGTTTTTTGGTTTTCGCGTGACGGTTGACACGATCTCCCTCAACTGCAATCATGACATGCTGCTTCGCCTTCCACTCCACTTTGATAAAAACCGCCGCTGGACGCCATTTTCGTCTCTACCTGCAACAACTTGTTCTTTCACCGCAACCCGACCCGTTTTCCTCAATCTTCAGGTGAGTTTTCCCTTCGCCATCATGATTATTTCGGATTCAGACTCGGCTTCCCCGCTGTCCAGCCCTCATCAGGCCGATCAATCGGCCCCGGCCCATCTGACCGAGATCGAGGCCAATCTAGCTTTCCTCAGCCGTCGTCGTCGTCGGCACCTGGCCAGAAGCTGCGCCAACTAAAAAAACAATTTCCCTCCTCGACCCCTACATTAAAGGGCTCTAGGTTTGAATTGGAGGAGAATATCATGGCTCTATGCCATTGCCAAGTTACTGACCAAGGGTTTTCCGACGCCACTGACATGGTCGGCCCCTCCATTGAAGTCTGGCGGCCCAGCAGGACTCAGATCGCCCTAGATTCCCCTTCGGGGTTCTTCACTTTTCACTTGGCTTCTTTGAAGAAGGGACTACGATTCCCTTTGCATTCTCTGTTGGTGGAATTCCTCAACGAGGTGGACCTCCTTCCCTGCCGACTAGTCCCGAATTCACACCAGTACATCACCGGTTACCTGATTTAGTGCAAAGAAGCCAGGGTGGAGCCCACCTTGGACCATTTCATGTTTACCTTCAAGCTGGCCAAAGGCCATGGGGATTGGGCGTCCTATGCCAGCCTCTCCTAGTGGTCGAGTAAACTTTTCACCAGCGACAAGAAGGGGTCGACCAAGGATTGGAAGCCCTTTTTTGTCTTTGTTTCCATGGGGCGCGAATCTTCTTTTACAGGTTCTGGGCACCCATCCTTCCGTCGCGTTACGCCTCCCAAGTCAAACGATGCATTCCTGTCCATTACCAGAAAGCTCTGCGGCAAGGAAGCCGTCGAGATCAGGTCGGTGGTGACCGAGGAGTCCCTCGCCAATCTTGGGTTCGAGTTCGTCAGGGATGAACATCGCCATCACCCTAACTTGCTGAGGGATCTCCACGGGAGGAGCGCCAACTGTGGCCCCTTTAGTAAATTCTATGTAACGCCCCAAAACATACCGTAAAATTTATTGAATTAAATATTCAATTAAACAAATTTGTTTTGATTAAAATAAATTGTTATTGGGCTTTGAGCCCGATATGAAATTATAGGTTGTTTTTACGTTCATAAATGGTCATTTGGTTGAGTTTTGTGTTTGACATGTTTGAAGAACCAAGAAACATAAACCTTGAATTTGATGTTAAAAATATGTTTTAATGATTCTAAAATGATCTATGAACCTTGGAGAACATTTCTATATAGTTTAATTGAAGTTTGGTAACTAAAATTGATAATCCCAAAAATGGACCGAAGGTAGAAGACGATGAACAGTGACCGAAAATCGATTATTTTCTTCCTAAGAATCGATTAAAACTTGTTCCGATAACGCGTATCAAAATAAAAAATAATAATAATCGATTATAGTAAAGTATAAAATCAATTTTTGTATTTAGTCGATTAAAATGTATTATAAAATCGATTTAAACAGGCCCGGTTTGACTATTCTTCGTAAATAATTGGAAAATGTGGACCGAGCGAGGTATTATTTCCCCTCAAGAAGTCCTCCACTTTTTTAAGTTGTGAGAATCATCAACTTTAAAAAGTAAAGAAGTCCTCCGAGTGCTATCTTCAGTCTTCTTACTTTCCATTCTTGACCGGTTCATATTGCTAGTCCTCCGAGTATTTTAATTTCTTGAATCGGATATTTTTCCTGCAAAAAATAATATGTACAATATATTTTTTTGACCGGCCTATGCCGTGCTCAAATAATTATTATCTTTACCGAGGAGCTCGGTGTTAGGGTGATTAAAATTCACGTGAATTATTACCGTAACGAGAGCGATGTCAGTTCGATAAAGCAACGATGCTTCGAATAGTTATATGACACCAGAGTTAGTACGATGAAGCGATGGTGCCATAGTTATTTCATCGAGATCGATGTTAGTATGAATAAGTAACCGATGCAATAGCTTTGTTGAAGATCAGTGTTAGCTTGGCTGATTGATGTAAATATCTTCATGTCTCACGGAGACGATCTTCAATAAAAGTGCCTCAGATAGAGGGCTTAGAATGAATCGGGCGTCCCCGATATGAGCTCGGCTCACTTTTTTGCTGAAACCGATGTACGATCGGTGTACCCAATTCTATTGGGCTCAAGCTCATCGGAAAATATGTGTAAGACCGGTGTACCAGTTTGACTGGGTCACATATTTTCTTTATTATACTGAGTAAGACCGGTGTAGTAACCAGCGTGCCAGGCCGGGCCTGTGTCTCAGTCTTCCTCTTTGAATAATGCTACTGGCCGGGCCAGATCAACATTGGATAATTAACCATGTCGGATGGTTTCGAGCCTTCTCCAAGGCCCAAAATGCTCCCTTCTTCCAGGGCCACCTCTTCCGGGTGATTAAGTATTTTAATGGCCCTTTGATGTTTACTATCCTGGGAAGGCCTTAGCTCACCCCCCGTTCAAGTCTTCCCTGAGAAGGGGGAATCCAAACCGGTCGGAATAGGATGCATCACGGTGTATGATCCTCTTCTATTTCTTTTAATGGGCATCTTTTAGTCCTCAATCGGTTTGACAGTCTTGGCTGATTCCCCGATACCGGTCAAACCTCATGGGCCTGTATAAGTACGGTTCGAACCTTCTTCCAGGTCCAGCCCTCTTGCAGGCATACCCCTCTTCCGGGTTTATTTTTTTTTACTTTTTACTGAGCAAGACCGGTGTTGTAACCAACGTACCAGGTCTGCCCTGTGTCTCAGTCTTCCATTAAAATTTGCCGAAGTAAGTATGATATACAAATCTTGCGCATCCTATCTCGATTGTGGCGGGCCATGATGATTATCACTTCTCCTTTATTTCCTTTGTATACATCCGTATGGAGTATACAAAATATTCCCATAACAAATCATTTGAAATTGATAAGCCCCTCCATCTTGATATATTGAGTCCATCAATGCACAACACTTTTTTTTGAATACTCCCACAAATAATCGAGATGGAGCATCTCCCATGTGAAAAGGGAATCTTTCAAATTCCCATTTGCACCAGCTGTCTAGGGCCCACTACCATGTGCCCTTTGAAAGTGGACCCATGAGATCCCTTCACCAAGAAAAAATCGGATGAAATCCATCTTCCTCCTGCGCATCCATTTTTTTCACATCCCATTGCTTTCCACGTGAATTACTTTTTTATGGGCCAATATGATTGAAAAGAGCACTTGATGTGTTTGGTTGGTGGCTCCTATTGAAAAAGATGGTTCTTTCCTGGAAAGACTCATCCGGCAATTCATCAGCAAACTGCTTCTTCTCCTCCGCCTGGCAATTACTCCCTCCGTCCCCCTGTATTTGTCCACTTTCATTTTTGCACACCATCCAATGCATTTCTTTAATCCATTTTATCTTATAATTTGTATATTAAAAAATTATAAAAATTATATATTAATAATCTATATGTTAAGACAAATCAAACAAGATCACACATGACTATATTTAGGCTTACACATTGAGAGAATTTAATGAGTCAAAGTGCTTAAATGAACAGTTCCAAAAATCAAATGTGGACAAATACAGAAGGACGGAGGGAGTATTAGCCAAGGGTACGGACATAGCTGCGGCAGTAACAACCGAGGATTGATTTTTTCCAGTGTGGCGGGGATGACGACAGTGGCGGCAGTGTAAGTGTCGGCAGTGGCGGGGATGACGACAGATATTTGTAGCAGCGTCAATTTACTTCGTCGGCGGCGATGATTGGCTTCTATCGGGGATTTGATTTTTTCTGGCATGGTGGCTCATGGCTTCGGCTGCGGTGGGATCAAAAAACAACCATCTGGTGACGGAGGCACATAAGTGTCGGCAGTGGCGGCGTCGGCGGGTCTGAGCATCGGCTGCGGCATATCCTTTTGAAGATTTTACTCTAAAGCTTGGGTCTTGACATATCCTCTGACAAAAATAGAATTTGAGATTGTGCTTTTTCATCTCCCTCGTTTTTCTTTGTTGAATGAGATATATAAACTTATCTCTTCTTCGGTCCCACGGTTAAAGAAGACATCCGCAAGGGGCTTAGAACCCTATCATCTCACGAACTTCCCTCTATCACCACCCATAATTGTCTAGCAATTTAGACTTCAGTGGTAAATAGCTAAAACAGGGATAGCTCAGAGCGATAGCCCGCCGGGGTAGCGCCGGCTATGGCAGTGGCTGCCTGCTGGACGAATCGTAATAAGGGTTAAAATATCCCAACCCCAAGACGTCATCAGCTTCTTGAGCGCCATGATAGATGGGTACCTGACGATGCCGGTGGCGCCAGTGACCAGAACGGAGAACACGTTGGTGCAGCGGGGACCCGACGACGCGCAGACCTGCTTCTCTCAATATGCGCCACCGCCGTAGAAGGCAAACAAGAACAAGTTATGAGTGGTGGAGTGGACGGTCGCGAAGTAGCCAGAGCCATCGGAGACCGGCGAGTAGTTGACGGTGAAGTAGCAGGGCGATCAAGAGAGTGATTCTGAAGAAAATCTTAGAAGAGGCGGCAATGGTGTTGTTAACCTTCCAGAGACAGTTGTCGTATCGATCCAATTTGGGGGTTTTGCTGGTGTCCCGTGGTGACGCAGCGGCAGTAAAGTGGAATTGCATTTTGAACGGCAGTGGAAGTTCTCTTTGTTTCAGCGCTTATTTTGGAAACGACGGGCGGTGAGATCTCTATGGCGAAGACACACATCCCTCCAAAATAGCGATAGTCTTCATCTTCCTCTACTGATTTATTCTTCCTCCTTTTTCAATTCTCAACCATTTCACTTTTTTAAGAAAATGAAATGCTCTCTTCTGGAGGATATCCAAAGTTTTTACTGTTTTTTTTTGTTTCTCACCCTTTAGGCTCTGTCAGATGGCCGAACAAAAAATGAAGCTTTTTGTTCTTGGGTCCCACGGTCGGAGCCAAAATGATGGTGTAAATTATCGACCGGTATATCGTTTTTATCCGGGCAAAAATGATAAACTAGTCTAAAAAATACACCAAAATATAAACACAAGAATTTTGACGTGGAAACCCAAATCGGGAGAAAAATCACGGGCCTTTTTTGGCGGTACCTTGCCAACGGGGGATTTTTATTAATATCGGGGGCTGTACACGATACATGAATTGGGCTCAGAAGCCATTAGTGGAAGCTTGAAGCTTCTTGGAAGAAAAAATACATACTACTCTAGAGAGAGAAATGAAGTTTGGGCAGGGAAGGAGTAATTTTTTTGGCCTCCTCAACATTGATGGCAAACACTCTTTTTATAGGGGAGGAGGGGAAGCATATTCGGGGAATATTCTCTTATTCTTTTATTTTATTAAACAGGTCCGATTTGACTATTTTTCGTAAATAATTGGAAAATGTGGACCGAGTCACGTATTATTTCCCATCACTTATAATATCAATATATAATGCTAAAAAAATATTGTGAATTGTGAATATAGAGTAACGTGGTGTCACTATGTACTAATTATATTACTTCAAAAAAAGGACTAATTATATTTTTGAAATAAAAATATATTACTCCAATTTTGGAAAAATAACTATACTACTCCGTATTTCTTATTTTAAACGAATTCTTAGAGCAATATTTGGGAACCACAGTCCTAAACAAAGTCGGCTAACTTGTACGAGTATCATATATATACGTGGAAGAACCCAATTGTTCTTGGAATAGAGTGATCGAAGTCATAGAAGCACAAGGCCCTCTCGATCAGTCAATTGTTGAGATCCTATTGAGAATTATGGGCATGGCAAAGCTAAAGATAGCAGGGGCATGGAGTGGGGTACTGGAGGTCGAACCGGAGGAGTGGACGGTGGCTATGCTGAGGGAAGAGGTTGTCCGGCGATCGGGCTGCGTTCCGCCGGAGTCCGTAAACCTCATCTCCGCCGGGAAATTGCTGAAAGACGGTGACGGGTCTGAGAAACTCAGCCAATTTGGCATAAAAAATAACGCCAAGATTTTGGCCTCTAAGGTTTCTCTCGACAAGGGCAAGTCGTTTAAGGAGGAATCTTTGGCCGAGGAGGAACGCTCTTCAAGGCTTTCCAGGCTAAAGTTTGTCCCGGAATCGCTCTCTCGTCTATTTTATCCTCGTTGGTGGTTTTCATGTCGTTGTGGTTTGAATTGCATGATCATTATTGAAAATTTTGGGTTCTTGCTGTGGGATAAGGGGGTTTTGTGTTACTTATCTTCTTGTGACTTTAACTGAATTTAAGTAATTGGGAAGTTGCGCATGATCAGGGTGAATGCATAGGTTTTTTTGTTTAGCTTTTCATAATTAAATTGCATATTTTGCCTGTGTAAATTTGGAGTTGAGTGTGTTGCTTGGATTATTAAGGTAAATTGTAAATAAGGACTTAGTAGTATATTTATTGCTATAACTTATTTGAGGTTGAAAAGGGGAAATCTGAAAGAACAAACATAGAACCACCGAGCGTATGCTTGACTTGATTTTTTAATGAAGTTTTAAGAAGGCAGCAATGTCTCAAGGGTGTAATGGAAGTTTTAATGATTTTTTTTCATAGGGATAAGGTTTCCAACATCTTGACCCCACTCCCTGAAAGAGTTACTATCATATTGGGTCTGTCGTATAACTGAGAAATTTTTATTTTTCCCTTTGTATATATGAATAATGAATCTATAATCTAGTATACTTTATTACTTATAGTACTTCGTAGTTATTAATATGAAGAACAGAGCATTATAGATAATGCTATACTTTAAGTTGTGTTTTGATATGCTCTCATTGAAACTGCCAATCTTGTTGACATTTATCAATAAAATTTGGCATAGTCAGTCCCTCGAAGAATTGGATGGTATAGGAACATCTAGTTGGACGAAAAGTACCTAAAATTGTCTTTCGGAATGTTTCACAAACCCTCACTAAAGTAATTCAAAGTGCGGACAGCAGAATGATTATAGATTTATAGACAAAAAATGTATCAGTCATCCTTACCAAAGTTGGATTTACAGTGTAGCATATTATGTACTTTTGGAAACCTTTTCTTGCTTCAACATTCATATCTTATTGCAATTAGTTTTGTATTGCGTAAATCTATTGTCATTACCCTACTGCTTCTAGTAACTATAAGTAACATTTTTTCACTACATATGGTACTTTATATTTCTGGTCACCTAAGTAGTACTGCCTGCATTGCAGGGCGGCTGCAACTGCATTGTCTCAGAGACATGCAGAAGGCACATTGCCTGTTGAAGACTTCAACTTAGAACTTGAAAACCAGAGCGGAGAAAAAGTGCAGCTTGGATCTGATACTGATCAGCGGTATTGATAATACTCAGAGGCATATGATTCTATGAAGCCTCAATAGAGTTATGCTTGGTATATAAACTTCTAAGCCTGTAATGACTTTGTGCTTGATTTGGCAGAGCAATAATGATGGGCCTCATGCTTCATGCAAATGGCAAAGCACTTATCAGAAAGCAACAGTTTAAAGAAGCACTTGAGGTTCTAACAATGGGAGAGGTTTGCAGATGGAACTTGTCATAATTGAGATCTCTCTTGAATGCTTTCCATGCCTTTTATTCGGATTGTGATTGAGTTTCTCGCATATAGCTATGCACTAATTATAATAAGAAATTCCTAGAATATACGAGAACATTTTTTGGATGACATTTAGCTTGCTTTTGTTACAACTTGGCAAAAAAAATGCTACCACATTCTAGGTTTTCATAAGAAATATAATTAGCCTTATTTTAGCTTTTGAATAGTGATGTCAAACACCTCCATGTGTTTCCTGACATCATTGTGGTGGCTTCTTTCTCATCGAGTTTCCAGTTGCTAGACATATGAGATTATGAGTTATTTTTAAAATTTTAAATTCTTCCAACTATTACTCAAATTACATAATAAATGGCATTTGTCCTTTTACAGGAGGCCTTCTCTCTTTGCAATCCCAAAGTTATTGAGGTGAGCGATTGTTTTGATTTTTTTGTACTAACCCGCAGTATATGGTCTATGATTTTTTTGTTTGTCTCGTTGTGAAAATGTGTTTTGTCTACTTATTGGCATGTATACCTTAAGTTACTTTGGATACTGAACTTGATAAGCCTGAAATAGTTTCTTTAGAAAATAAACAATGCATTATGGTTGCAATATTAACTGTTTCATACATAAATGATTTCAATTCATGATATAAGAATGGACTCCTAACCATCCCTTATGGCTCACAGTTGGTTGACAATGTAGCCATTCTACAAATAGACTTGGTGTGGTGTTACTTCATGCTCAAAGACATGAGTTGGCTCTCAGATGCAGGCGCCCGTCTTGCAAAAGCCAGGGAAGGCCTTGAGCGTGCTCATGGTAAGGAAGCTAGTCGTGTTAGACTTCTTCAGGGTGGACGCTATCTGGAGGTTGCCTTGTGAGTACCTGTATCTCATTTGTTGCATATCTCCGAATTATTATTACTCTGTATCAAATTTGGCAAGTGATTTCACTTAACTTTTTAATGTTATTAACTTATTATTATGTTTTATTTTTTTTCATCTAGGCATGTACGGCTGGAGCTGTTAGAAGGAGTTGTTGCATATCACAGTGGTTGGTTACAAAAATCTAGACAATCTCTGAGTTCTGCCCAAGCCAAATATATCCAGGTCAGCCTGGTCGACTTGATAAATTTGGCAATAATCTTTTTGTTGTTTTATGCCATCATTTTATTCCAAAAGTTTTTTTTTCGTTCGATTATTCTTCTGTAGATAATAAATAGGTGTGCTAGTGTGTGATGTTTCCACCTACCAAGTTACCATCTGATGCAATGGTTAGGAAGAAAAAAGTAAACTGGTTTTAGTTTTTACTGCTCTATAGATTATTTATGCTCTTTCCTCTTTTATTTTTTCATTATCATAAAAATAGCATCTCTTTTTTTTGTATTAAAAAATTTATTGTATTTTTCTTCAAACAGCTTCAAATTCCTGATGAGGCGTTGTCATTAATTATGAGCATGGGCTATAAAGAAAGAGATGCAAAGAAAGCACTGAGAATGAACAATCAAGATGTTCAAAGCGCTGTTAATTTTTTGATTGAGGAGAAAGAGAAAAACAAAAGGAAAAAAGAGGAGAATCTTACTAGACAAAGAGACCTCCTGTGGGTTAATTTTCTTTTAATGTCAAGTTACCCACCCGTGTTTTTGTTTTTTTCACGTTTCTTGAATTTATAAAATTCTAAGCTTTCCGTGCCATGGATTTCAGGGAGCAAAGACTCTACGGAATGACTGCTCTAAAAAAAGCTGTTAATCTCCACTATCTAAATGAATTGGTTTTGGTCGGGTAAGTAGTAAATAAGTGTGTGACGGGATGCATCGAAGTTGCTGTATGGTTGATTTTGAGATGATGCATCACTGTTGACCTTTGTAGGTTTGAGAAGGGGCTTGCTGCAGAAGCCCTCCGTAGAAATGAAAATGACATGCAGAAGGCTCTGGATGACCTCACTAATCCACAAACCAATTCTGCTATTCAGGTAAGTATATATTTACTAGTAGTTGACATCTATTCTTCTAGTCTAGTTATTGTGTCTTTATGCATCATAATTTGCCAAGTAGAGCACCGGATTTGGATTTGTACAAACTAAAACAATTTCCTCTTTTCCTTTATGTGTGTATTCAGCAACACATTGAGTCAAACAAAAAGAAAAGGTTGCGTAATGCACAGAATGCCGCAATTGAACAGATTGCTGCTATGGGTTTCCCAAGAGAATCAGGTACTTTGTTTCTAATATGGTTATGTTCTGTTTGTGCAAAAGATGTTGTGTTTTTAACATGTCGCAAACATGCAAATTCAGTGATCGCAGCTGTTCGCACTTTTGGGACACGGCAAACAGCTTTGAATAACCTTCTAGGCCAATCTTCTTCGTCCATTACCAGCAATCTTGCGCCAGTTGGCAACGAAGGCGGCTTGGGGCAAGATGGTAATTTCCCAAACAATGATGGCGAACAGGCATCGGGTAGGAATGAAGATTTAGAGGAAGACGCTTTTGGAAATCAAAGTGAGACTGGATTAGTACAGGAGACCCGTGACGTTGAAATGGAGAGGGAGCTTACTGAGGAATTGCTGAAAGGAGACGCCTACTCTGACTATGACCTTGAGCTTACCAAAGAAGGCGAAGGGATCGCCCAATATCTGACTCTTTTAACATCTTCGTGCTAAATCGTTTGTACCAATCTGCTTGTAAATTTCTCTTAGATCACGAACTGCTGGAATATGTGTTTGTTTGAATGAGTATCTGCCTGTTCCATATTTCTTGGTTTCAGTTTTCTAGCTTTATTGTTCGTTTTTGAAGAGCTCGCAAAATCATGACAGTGGTGCAGGATCAGATTAGAATAGACCCCTTTGAGTGCCAAAATTAGGTGCCAAGAAATCCTCAAAACTGACTTTTCATATCGCATATTCTTTGTTTTTCTTGTATATCTGTCTAATACTCATTTACGAGTTATACAATACTCATTTTGCACATTATAAGAATGGGTGTATGCACGTTTTAGAATTACTCAATGCTCATCATAAATATACAAAAAAAAATAACTCCGTACATTTATGAGTAACATAATGTTCATTTATTTAAAAAATGTTTATATCTACAGCTTTAAACTACACAATATATACAAAATGTATACTCACGAGTAACATAATACTCATTTCGTGCATGAATATGACATACTCAACAGTCTGAATTCATCTTCTTCATCCAAAGACGAACCACGCCAACGAGCTACCAGAATCACATTGCCCACTACTAGGCCATCGTGTCATTCACCACTCATCAATCGTCTCCGAACATTATCACATGCACAATGGCTAGATTAGTCGTCGGTAACGCTCTCACTGAAATACCTACTTGAGGCCACTACTGCGTCGTTGGAGAAAAGGGAGAGGATAGTCAGAACTCTTGTTGCCTTTGTCGTCACTGATCGTTGTTGGGGCTCATGGAAGACCACCAGTGGTTGTTGTTAGTCAAAGCTAGCTACTCGCAGTTGTGTGGCTTCGCCGATGTTGAGCAAATCGAGGAAGAAGAAGAGAGATCGAAGACTAGAGCATTGCAGATACAAAGTAAAACTCCTTCCAACTTACACAAATTAACAAGTTTGTCATTAGTTGTGCTAAAAAAAGTACTCCGTATTATAATCTGAAATACCTTAAAACTTGTATGTGTAAAGTTACCAAAAAGGAGAAGAGGGGTTCCTTGGTCAAATCAACCATACAAACTTATAAGTTATGATTGGTATGGCAAATTTAGAAAATATAATGTATAGAATAAAACAAATACTTCAAACCAACCTTGATATTGGTAGTCCATATAATACTTCCTCAATTCAATTTTTCCTTTTTACAATTTGACTTTTAAAGCAAATTTTATGAATTTTGACCACAAAATTTAAAAAAGTAGATTTAATTATAAAAAAAATTCTATACAATCGAGTTCATTTTAAGATGTAGTTTTGATATACGGAGTATTATATTTTTAATACATCTATTTATTTAAAAGTATTTATTAATAGTTAAAATGTGTAACAATTTGACCCAAAAAATCACAATAAAGAGTTTTCTTGAACATAAGGAGTATATTATGATCTTGGTCCATTTGAGACAAACCTGGAGTGAAATCTACCCCTTTTAACCAACCCCTCAAACGCTTATCCCCAAGCCAATGCCCCGTAACCCACCTAGGGCTCGACATGGCAAGGTACGATTCCGGTTCCAAAACGGACAGTTCTTGTACAAATTTCGGGGGAACCTGTAACTTGTAGGGGCAGTTCTGGTGGTTCCGATTGTGTAGCGCTTCTTTTTCCTATTCTGAACCGATTCTGAATATTTTTTATAAATTTTTTGTTAAAAAAGTTATATAATTGACTCCAAACTCTTTTTCTTGATAGTAAATATGAATTAATTTCAAACAAATTAAAAATAAGCATAAAAGTCATAAATATACAAAAACTTACTCCCTCCCTCCCAAATTAAATTGCCTATTTACTATCCACATGGTCAAACTCCATTCACTTTCTTTCTCTATTTTTGTTATTTATTTAATAAAATAATATAATTATGTCAACCCTAGTTTTCTAGATCTTTTGATATAGCTTTTAAATATGTAATTTTTGTTTTATAAGTTCACACCATTTCTCATATAACATAATTTGAAAATAACTTCAGTCAAATATCGTAAACCGAAACAAGCAACTTAAATTGGGACGGAGGGAGTAAATCGTTTCGGTTCCGTAGCGATTCCGTTTTTGATACCAAAAATTAAGATCCAAAACCGGAACCTTTTCCCATGATTCTGGTCAATTCTTGTACTCTAACGGTTGTGGTACGAGTTCTGGATCCAGAATAGCTAGTTTGAGTTCCGATACCAGCTCCGAACCAGAACCATGTCTCGCCCTAAACCCATCTACCCTTCTAGACGTACAGTCTTCCTTTGGCTGACAATACACTCATTGTCACCCAAATGAGAGAGCGGTATATATATATATATATATATATATATATATATATATATATATATAGGTCTAAGGTGGGTTAGACGTGGTAGAGTTTAAAGGCTGAGTGATTCTATGGTAAACCTAAGGTTCACATGAACCTTCTCACATATTTTTTTTAATTTTAAAAATGCTTATTTAGCATATACTAGTATCTCACCCGTGCGTTGCACGCACTATGAAAATGTATTGGTATCATTATTGAAAAAAAGAAATATATCATACAATGAAATTTAATGTTACGTTTTTTCATTATGTTAAAGCATGAATGTCAAATGAATTACATTTTGGAAAAATTTCTTTATAACTACATTACTTGTACAATTTGTGTGAACATTTTCTACGTTGTATAAATGAGAACTCTCAAGCCATTTCGATTTGTTATTTTTGAAACAACAACATATAGTTGTCCTAGACTAAATATACTTATTTCCGTAATAATAATTCTACGTATTTAGAGATTGGCCTTCACTCTTATTTAAATGTTATTGTATATGAAGTAACCACATAAAATTGTCTTTTTTAAAACTTGAATTTAATTCTTGCATCAACTGGTGTCAATCTAATGATGGTATTGGAATAATAACATCTTCACGCATGTGTCTTCTAGATAATATCTTTCCTCGTATTGAGTGATTGGTCAACCAAGTACCATTACAAAAACTCATCGAATGATCAATGTTTCTTTGGTATCCATATATAATTATAATAGACCATATTTAATAATAATGTTAAGTTCATAATATAAGTGTCCAAAAATAATAACTCCGGTCGTGATTAATAATTCATATAAAAAAAGTAAAAATCTTCATAGTGTTGAATAAAAATATCAATCAATTTGTTACTAAAGGTCAAAAAATAAACATGTTTTAAATTTGACCAAGATTATTACAAACCCAAATAAAATAAAATAAATAACACAATATTTCCATATATTGATCCATAAACAATGGGCAAATTACTTTCGATATTAAAGTAAAATATTATTTTCGTATATTACACTATCATTTCCTTGAATAATAATAAATGCATATGTATGTGTGTGTCTGTATACATACATACATACATACATACATACATACATACATACATACATCCATGCATACATCCATGCATACATGCATGCATACATACATCCATACATGCATGCATGCATGCATGCATGCATGCATGCATACATCCATACATACATGCATGCATACATACATGCATACATACATGCATGCATGCATGCATACATACATACATACATACATACATACATAGATATATATATATATATATATATATATATATATGGAAATGTTGCCATTAATATTAATATTTTCGTTATTAAAGTAAAATATTATTTTCATATATAATACTATCATTTCCATAAATAATAATAATAAATGGATATATATGTCGAAATGTTGTCTCTATTATAGTACTCTCTCCGCACCGAATTAGAATACAATTTTTTTCTCTCTACTCTCGATAACTTTTGTTTATCTGTGTGTTTTCATTGACTATTTGATAAAATAAAATGTTTTTTTCACATATTTTTTTGTAGAGATTTTGACGTAGTTTTTTAATATGTAATTTTTATTTTTTATTTATATACCAATTTGGAAATAAAATGATTTCAAAAGGCGGGAGATTTTGCCTCGTAACTACCAATTTGTAATCAAATTATGGACGTAGTGAGTATTTGTTTATATCATTTCAATATCTTATTTTTACCTGGCATTATTTTTTTATATTAGAGTAAAATATTATACTCCCTCTGTTCATAAAAGATAGCCACAGTTTGACTTTTTTAGTCAAACTGAAAAAGTCAAACTGTATCACCTTTTGACCACGAATAATGGAAAAAGTATATTTAGTTATAATGTAAATTTAGTAAAGTTGGGTTTTACTTTAAAATATAGCTTTGAACTATCAAATTTTTATACTCCGTAATATTTAATTATTTTTATCCATATTTAATTTATGGTCAAAGGATACTACAATTTGACCAAAAAAATCAATCTATGACTACTTTACAGACAGAGGGAGTATTATTTTCATATACTATACTATTACTTTTATATATAATATTCAATGCATATAGATGGAAATATTGTTTATTTTCAATACTAAAATAAAAATTACTTTCACACACACACACACACATATATATGACGCAAAGCTCACCTAGAAATAGAGTAAAACTCACCACTTTGAACACCAAAAATCCCTTTTTTTTAAGTTTTGAAATTTAAAATTAATAAAATGAGTATTGACGGCGGGCACCAACGCCAATGCGGTCGTGGAAACCGCCGGCAGGTCGGAGCGTTTTCCGGCCAACTCCGGCGAAATTGACGGCGTGCACCAACGCCAATGCGGTCGTGGCATCCGGGCGATCTCCAAGGACCCCTCAATTGCAAGATTTGATGAAGATTTGCAAAACCCCCAATTTTGGATCCAATTTCGAATTTTAGGGTTTTTTCGAGTAGAAAAATCCAGATTCGAGAAGTTACAGGTCAAATTAGACAAAATGGTTTGGATATTATTGATCCTCGTCTCAAGACGAAGAGAATGACATTGGTCCCGCCGGAATCGAAAAAAGTTCATTTTCCGGCGACTTTGACCGGCGGGCGGCGGCGGCGGGGCGTGGAAGAAAAGAAAAGAAGAAATGGAGTCAAATTGAAAATTTTAAAATATATAAAATTCGAATTTGGCCCTAATGACCGGAAGTTAACCTAGAAACGGGCTAATGACTCATTAGTGAAAGGATTGTGTAAGTTCAGGGATTTTTGTGAAAGGATTTGAAGTTCAGGTACCACTTCAAAATTTCAGCTAAAGTTCAGGTACCATTTGCATTTGTGAAATTTATCCCGAATCATAGAGTTGCGGGACTCCCCTGACTCGGATGGGCATTTTAGTCCAAGCAAATTACAACGACTCTTTTTTGCCAAACGGCGTCAATAAAACCCTAGAGCAGTTTGAAGCGAACCATTATCAATTCCCTTCCGTTCTCTGCTCTCTCTCGCTCTCGCTCTCGCTCGCTTCATTGAATCTGTTCTCAACCGATCTCCCAAAGGCTCTCGATCTTCGATCTCGATACTTTGAATCTCTGTCGTTCTTTATTCTACATTNCCGAATCATAGAGTTGCGGGACTCCCCTGACTCGGATGGGCATTTTAGTCCAAGCAAATTACAACGACTCTTTTTTGCCAAACGGCGTCAATAAAACCCTAGAGCAGTTTGAAGCGAACCATTATCAATTCCCTTCCGTTCTCTGCTCTCTCTCGCTCTCGCTCTCGCTCGCTTCATTGAATCTGTTCTCAACCGATCTCCCAAAGGCTCTCGATCTTCGATCTCGATACTTTGAATCTCTGTCGTTCTTTATTCTACATTCGATTTTGATTAATTTTGTTGATCTCTTAACGATCTAATATTGTTTTTGCATGCCCTTTTCTTTCCGAATATATATTTCTGTTTACAGCTGTTGTTTTTCGCTTCTTTCTTTTTGTTGTGTGTTATTAACGTGATGGATGCAGGATTAAGAAACTCTATGACATCGAACATGACTGGATCCAGTCGTTTTCCTCTTCAGGAGCAGTATCGTCAGAGAAAAAGCTCCCATGAAAATGTATGTCATCTCTACCTTGCGTGAATTGATGCAAATTTCATCTAGACATTTGATGCAAACTGGTGTATATCCCATGAAAAAAGTCTCTGTTCTTCCATCTGGGCAGTTGATCTAAATTTCATTGTCACTTTGGTTTTATGTATCTAATTCTGAAACTCATTAAGTAACCTTATTCCAATTTTCTTTGGGTTGTTGGATGATAAGTTCATCGAGAATATGGTTACCATTTGAAACCTTCAATTTGAGTTACTGAATTCTTTTGGGTTGCTTTTATGTAGTGGGACAGGTTCATTCCTAATAGATCTGCAATGGATTTTGACTATGCACATTTTATGGTGACCGAAGGATGTAAAGCTAAAGAGATTCCGGCCAGTTCACCTTCAAGAGAAGCATATCGAAAGCAGCTTGCAGAGATCTTTAACATGAACCGGAGGATCCTTGCTTTTAAGAACAAACCACCCACCCCCCCTTTGGATGGTTTTCTGAATGAGAACTCTTCCCCTTACCAGGCCAAACCTACAAAACCCCGTCGCCACATTCCTCAGGTAGGCAAGTAGTGCTTGATTGTTCTTGAGGTTAGTGGATCAATGATAGAAATGATTCTTTTTTTCTCACAATGATTGATTCATTTTTGCAGACATCTGAGAGGACTTTAGATGCCCCAGATATTTTGGACGATTACTACTTGAATCTACTAGATTGGGGAAGCAGCAATGTTCTCTCTATTGCTCTTGGCAGTACTGTTTACCTGTGGGATGCTTCTGAGGGCAGCACTTCTGAATTGGTCACAGTTGATGATGAATTTGGTCCGGTTACGAGTGTGAAATGGGCTCCCGACGGAAGGCATGTTGCCATTGGCTTGAATAATTCTGATGTCCAGCTTTGGGATTCCACGGCTAACAGATTGGTATGCTTCTTCTCAAGCTCTTTTAGATTCAGTCTTGGTTTCTTTTCTTTCGTTGATTGAATGAATACTGAGTTTTGTTTGCTGGGCAGTTACGAACTTTGAGAGGTGGCCACCAATCACGAGTAGGAGCCCTTGATTGGAACAATCATATACTGACAACAGGTGGGATGGATGGTATGATTTTCAACAATGACGTCCGGGTGAGATCACATATTGTGGAAACCTACAGAGGACATAGTCAAGAAGTGTGCGGCCTAAAATGGTCTGCCTCAGGCCAGCAGTTGGCAAGCGGAGGAAATGATAATCTTCTATATATATGGGACAGATCATCGACTGCTGTTTCTTCTTCCAACTCCACCTCCTCAACAACACAATGGCTTCACAGGTTCGAGGAACACACAGCTGCAGTTAAGGCCCTTGCCTGGTGTCCGTTTCAGGGGAACCTTTTGGCCTCAGGCGGAGGTGGAGGAGACCGATGCATTAAGTTCTGGAATACTCATACTGGTTCATGTGTGAACTCAGTTGATACAGGGTCTCAGGTGTGTGCGTTGCTTTGGAACAAGAATGAGCGCGAGTTGCTTAGCTCTCATGGGTTTACTAAGAATCAGCTCACTCTCTGGAAATACCCATCAATGGTTAAAATGGCAGAGCTTACGGGACATACCTCCCGAGTTCTTTTTATGGCTCAGGTTTAACTGTCTTTCTTCTTTTTCTCACAAAATTAATATCAAAAGTTTTCTGTGGCTTTTGCGTAGTAAATGATAAATATACTCACAATCATATTTGTTGTGCAGAGCCCAGATGGTTGCACTGTTGCATCTGCTGCAGGTGATGAAACATTAAGATTCTGGAATGTATTTGGAACCCCTGAAGTCAAAAAACAGGTTCCCAAGTCTAACCCGGAGCCGTTCGCTCATGTTAACCGAATCCGCTGATGCCCGATTTGCTATATGCTTGATGTAATCTCAGGCATAGATTCCACCATTACTTTTTGAAGATCTTAATTTTTCACAGTGAGTGCCCATGCAATGTGGCATTCAATATTTTACGAGTACTTTGGTCATTCTTGGTTTTATATATTGAAGCATTCTCACTATATTATGTTATACTACTTTGTTTCTAGCTGTTTTAGTGCTATTGGAAGCTTTCAAGACGAGTTCAAGCATTTGTTTGGCACTACTTAAAAGTGAAACATGAATTGGAAAAGGGGGTGGAATGTTTAGGATATTGATCTATCTTTGATGAGGTAAATTAACCATTTATTTCCAAAAAAAAACTTGGGATATATTGATCAATCTTTGATGAAATCAGCCATTTATTTCTAACATAACCTTTGCTCTTATCATTTCAGGTGCTGCAGTATGCTTCAGTTTTGCTTCGGACCTTTGCTCGCCCGCCTGTGCAGATAATGCTGTGTATAAACCATTTCGAACCAAATCGTGTAGTTTGGTGGATATGAATGAAGAACAGTTACTGGTGTGGGCGGATTATATTGTTTAGATAATCAGAGAATTAAAGATGGTTGAACTTTGATTTAGGCAAATGACATTATACCTGTATGTTGGAGTTCGAGAATAATATTATACAAATTACAAATATTGCATCGAATGATTGTTCTGCTCAATCCTTTTGTTTTTTTCTTAATACACGTCTGTCTTTATGAACACAGATACTAAATAAAGATTATTTCTATATTATACAAAGTGCAAAAAACAGGTTCCCAAGTCTAACCCGGAGCCGTTCGCTCATGTTAACCGAATCCGCTGATGCCCGATTTGCTATATGCTTGATGTTATCTCGGGTATAGATTACACCATTACTTTTTCAAGATCTTACTTTTTCACAGGGAGTGCCCATGCATTCTGGCATTCAATATTTTACTGAGTACTTTGGTCATTTCTGGTTTTATGTATCGAAGCATTCTAACTATATTGTATTATACTACTTCGTTTCTAGCCGTTTTAGTGCTATGGAGGCTTTCAAGACAGGGGTTAGTTCAAGCATTTGTTTGGCACTACTCAAAAGTGAGTTGATTAGGAGATGAGGTAAATCAACCATTTATTTCCAACAAAACTTGGGATATATTGATCAATCTTTGGTTCCAGTTACACCAAATCATTTACTTCTCACAGAACTGGTCCATCTCTTATATCCTATTTGCTTCTGACCTTTGCTCGCTCGCTAGTTCAGATAATGCTATGGCTATGGATGCTGTGAATAGTGATGCAAGTGGGCTGACAGTAGATTAGTGGAGGATGAAGATATGGCTGAAAATGAGGAGCACATACGGCGTAGCAAACGTGACAGGAAGGCTCTGGTTTGGCAAGATGATTATGATATTTATCACTAGTTTATGGTTTTTATATTGTGTAATTAATAATTATATGAGCGTAATTATAAGCTCCTTTCCTGGTTTTCTTTGACGGTTCTTTTTCCCGGATTGTGAAAAAAGAGTCGAACCGCATAGGGTCCTAGATCACTTAAATATGTCAAGAGTCTTCATTATTTAAATAAAATCACATATCATTAACCGAAATTCTCTCTTTCTCGAGAAACTCCCCTTCCCTTTCCTCTTGCTGGAGCTGGTAATCGTTCGAAGCAAATCCTAAAAGTAAATTGCCTCTGGTGTGTGACTCAGTTGTTGGAGGGCAGCACTTTGGAATGGTTTCGGTGGCGATGGAAAATGGGTTGATTGACTCTTGGGATGATTTTGTGGAGAAATTCAAACTTTGCTTTTATCCCTTACACTATGTGGAATATTTTGGACAATTAGAACGCACTCGTCAATTGGGTTTTGTTATGGATTACCAGGCAGACCTAGAAAAGGTTCTCACTCATCTTACCGGGGCGAGTGAGGAGAAGTTGCAGTTCTTGTTTGTTGCCCTTGCGTTGGAGTTATAAAACGAACGAATAATTTTGATTCAATTTGTGATTCGTCTTTAGAATCAATTAGTCGTATTCAAATGATGAATATTTTTTAGAATTCGAAAGAAAATGAATGCATTCAATTAGATATGTTAACAAATATATTCGAATACAAATATAAAAATTTATACCGATTATACTGCTTCACAATTAATAGAGAACATATACATTGAGTTCTTCATAGTTTTTTTTGCTTGTATTATTCAGTAGTTGATACTTGAAGTACACATTTAGCTTTTGAGCGTCATGTAGAAAAAGTACTTATATACTTTTAAACGAGTGTGTAAATATGAATTGAAATATTGAGTAATTGATAGAAATACCAAGTATCAATCCATAATCCATAAAATCTAATCACTCATTCAGTGCTACAGCACATCGCCATTTCTAGTTATTGTTCAACAAAAATACTTGATCCGCAATTGTGCAGTTAAATAGCCTTCCCCCGCACTCTGAGACGCTACGGTCCTCATAATTTGAATCTATAATACGTAAAAAAACTCAAAATTTGTATTGTGTAGTAGAATATGAATCGAATATTTGGATTTAATAACGAATTGAATATGAATAGTAATAAATATTTGAATAAAAAACGAATACGAATATGAATAATGGTATCATTTTTCAAATATGAATAAGTTGGAAGAAACTTGAAGAGTGGAAAGAAACTAGATGAAGTTAGTACAAACTGGATGAAGTTAGAAAAAATTGGAAGAAGTTGAAAGAAATTGAAAGGAGTTAGAAGAAACTGGAATGATTTGAAAATGCAAAAGATGACCTTTCATTTGAAAATGTTGTTCCGGTGTTGATTTGACACATTTACTTAAGATTAGAAAAAATGTCAAACTTCCAAAAAATGTTTCTAGTTCAATTTGGGGGTGAATTAATTTAGCAAAGTGGAAAAGTGTTATTCATATTTATCTTTAAACAGTAAGCTAAAAGGAAAACAGGAAAAATATTTTAGACGAGTAAAGAAAGTGAGAAAACATTTTGAGATGGAAGGAGATTTTTTTTTTTGAATAGGCAACCTGCCTATTTTTTAACTGAAAACACAAATATATATTTTACTTGCATCAGCAAGTAAAGACTACACACACAATTGCACTTTGTATAATATAGAAATAATCTTTATTTAGTATCTGTGTTCATAAAGACAGACGTGTATTAAGAAAAAAACAAAAGGATTGAGCAGAACAATCATTCGATGCAATATTTGTAATTTGTATAATATTATTCTCGAACTCCAACATACAGGTATAATGTCATTTGCCTAAATCAAAGTTCAACCATCTTTAATTCTCTGATTATCTAAACAATATAATCCGCCCACACCAGTAACTGTTCTTCATTCATATCCACCAAACTAGACGATTTGGTTCGAAATGGTTTATACACAGCATTATCTGCACAGGCGGGCGAGCAAAGGTCCGAAGCAAAACTGAAGCATACTGCAGCACCTGAAATGATAAGAGCAAAGGTTATGTTAGAAATAAATGGCTGATTTCATCAAAGATTGATCAATATATCCCAAGTTTTTTTTTGGAAATAAATGGTTAATTTACCTCATCAAAGATAGATCAATATCCTAAACATTCCACCCCCTTTTCCAATTCATGTTTCACTTTTAAGTAGTGCCAAACAAATGCTTGAACTCGTCTTGAAAGCTTCCAATAGCACTAAAACAGCTAGAAACAAAGTAGTATAACATAATATAGTGAGAATGCTTCAATATATAAAACCAAGAATGACCAAAGTACTCGTAAAATATTGAATGCCACATTGCATGGGCACTCACTGTGAAAAATTAAGATCTTCAAAAAGTAATGGTGGAATCTATGCCTGAGATTACATCAAGCATATAGCAAATCGGGCATCAGCGGATTCGGTTAACATGAGCGAACGGCTCCGGGTTAGACTTGGGAACCTGTTTTTTGACTTCAGGGGTTCCAAATACATTCCAGAATCTTAATGTTTCATCACCTGCAGCAGATGCAACAGTGCAACCATCTGGGCTCTGCACAACAAATATGATTGTGAGTATATTTATCATTTACTACGCAAAAGCCACAGAAAACTTTTGATATTAATTTTGTGAGAAAAAGAAGAAAGACAGTTAAACCTGAGCCATAAAAAGAACTCGGGAGGTATGTCCCGTAAGCTCTGCCATTTTAACCATTGATGGGTATTTCCAGAGAGTGAGCTGATTCTTAGTAAACCCATGAGAGCTAAGCAACTCGCGCTCATTCTTGTTCCAAAGCAACGCACACACCTGAGACCCTGTATCAACTGAGTTCACACATGAACCAGTATGAGTATTCCAGAACTTAATGCATCGGTCTCCTCCACCTCCGCCTGAGGCCAAAAGGTTCCCCTGAAACGGACACCAGGCAAGGGCCTTAACTGCAGCTGTGTGTTCCTCGAACCTGTGAAGCCATTGTGTTGTTGAGGAGGTGGAGTTGGAAGAAGAAACAGCAGTCGATGATCTGTCCCATATATATAGAAGATTATCATTTCCTCCGCTTGCCAACTGCTGGCCTGAGGCAGACCATTTTAGGCCGCACACTTCTTGACTATGTCCTCTGTAGGTTTCCACAATATGTGATCTCACCCGGACGTCATTGTTGAAAATCATACCATCCATCCCACCTGTTGTCAGTATATGATTGTTCCAATCAAGGGCTCCTACTCGTGATTGGTGGCCACCTCTCAAAGTTCGTAACTGCCCAGCAAACAAAACTCAGTATTCATTCAATCAACGAAAGAAAAGAAACCAAGACTGAATCTAAAAGAGCTTGAGAAGAAGCATACCAATCTGTTAGCCGTGGAATCCCAAAGCTGGACATCAGAATTATTCAAGCCAATGGCAACATGCCTTCCGTCGGGAGCCCATTTCACACTCGTAACCGGACCAAATTCATCATCAACTGTGACCAATTCAGAAGTGCTGCCCTCAGAAGCATCCCACAGGTAAACAGTACTGCCAAGAGCAATAGAGAGAACATTGCTGCTTCCCCAATCTAGTAGATTCAAGTAGTAATCGTCCAAAATATCTGGGGCATCTAAAGTCCTCTCAGATGTCTGCAAAAATGAATCAATCATTGTGAGAAAAAAAGAATCATTTCTATCATTGATCCACTAACCTCAAGAACAATCAAGCACTACTTGCCTACCTGAGGAATGTGGCGACGGGGTTTTGTAGGTTTGGCCTGGTAAGGGGAAGAGTTCTCATTCAGAAAACCATCCAAAGGGGGGGTGGGTGGTTTGTTCTTAAAAGCAAGGATCCTCCGGTTCATGTTAAAGATCTCTGCAAGCTGCTTTCGATATGCTTCTCTTGAAGGTGAACTGGCCGGAATCTCTTTAGCTTTACATCCTTCGGTCACCATAAAATGTGCATAGTCAAAATCCATTGCAGATCTATTAGGAATGAACCTGTCCCACTACATAAAAGCAACCCAAAAGAATTCAGTAACTCAAATTGAAGGTTTCAAATGGTAACCATATTCTCGATGAACTTATCATCCAACAACCCAAAGAAAATTGGAATAAGGTTACTTAATGAGTTTCAGAATTAGATACATAAAACCAAAGTGACAATGAAATTTAGATCAACTGCCCAGATGGAAGAACAGAGACTTTTTTCATGGGATATACACCAGTTTGCATCAAATGTCTAGATGAAATTTGCATCAATTCACGCAAGGTAGAGATGACATACATTTTCATGGGAGCTTTTTCTCTGACGATACTGCTCCTGAAGAGGAAAACGACTGGATCCAGTCATGTTCGATGTCATAGAGTTTCTTAATCCTGCATCCATCACGTTAATAACACACAACAAAAAGAAAGAAGCGAAAAACAACAGCTGTAAACAGAAATATATATTCGGAAAGAAAAGGGCATGCAAAAACAATATTAGATCGTTAAGAGATCAACAAAATTAATCAAAATCGAATGTAGAATAAAGAACGACAGAGATTCAAAGTATCGAGATCGAAGATCGAGAGCCTTTGGGAGATCGGTTGAGAACAGATTCAATGAAGCGAGCGAGAGCGAGAGCGAGAGAGAGCAGAGAACGGAAGGGAATTGATAATGGTTCGCTTCAAACTGCTCTAGGGTTTTATTGACGCCGTTTGGCAAAAAAGAGTCGTTGTAATTTGCTTGGACTAAAATGCCCATCCGAGTCAGGGGAGTCCCGCAACTCTATGATTCGGTTAACTGTAACCGGCAAAGTTTGACCCGAAATCGTATAATTAAAGGTAATATTCATTTGTTATCTATTTTTACAATTTTATTTACTCCATTTGTCTTCATTTTGATCATAAATATTCATTCATAAGTTGAGCAAAATTGACCCGTGAGCCGTGATCTGTAATGGCATATATAAAAGAAGTAGTGTCACCACCAAGAATTTATCTAGTTTTAACTTATTTGTAATAAACTAAAATCAAAATTTGGCCCATTTTTTATATGGTATATTAATTAAATAAAATTATATTTTAAAAGATAAATCTAATAAAAAAAAATTGATATCAATATCTTATATCAATTTATTTAAATAAAAGTCAAAATTTATCGATTTTATATGCAAAAAATCAAAAAAACAAATATTATACAATGAATACAATATTATTTTACTCCGTAATTTGTAAAAAATGGAGAAAAAAAACTAAAATACGACTAAACATAGCAATGAAATTAAAACAAGATCTCTATATTTTATTCTAAAATGGGGCTTATATTTCTTTCTCATTTACAAATAAACTAAAAATTCCACCAATGTATTCTTATAAATAAGGTTGTGTTCTGTTCTCCTGATCTGATCTGATTTTTTGAAGTTTTGATCTGACCTAATCCCACTACGTAAAAGCAACCCAAAAGAATTTAGTAAGTCAATCATATTAGAATTCTTTTAATAATAATAATATTAATGATAAATAATAATAATAATAATAATTGATGGTGTAAAACCACATGAGTACTAAGTCTGAATAAGCGAAAGGGTTGTAGATGTAAATACATGTAACTCGGGTAGTTATTAATAATGTAGGGACCAATTACAAGTTTACAAGCCATGTGGATTCTTAATTGCATTCTCTCTTTATGAGGCTTTCACTCCTATTTATAATAATAGAATATACACTATTCAACACTACTCTTCATTTCAAGTCATCCACCCGAGCAGTCTTCAAGCCGGCCATTCTTCAAGTCATCCACCCAGGCAGTCTTCAAGCTGGCCAGAAATCTGGCCCAAAAGAATTAATTAAATTGTTAGAGCAATTGATTACGAATTGGGCCCAAAAAGGGGTTAAAATTATAATTTGGATTCTAAGCCCAACTTTTATGTCATCTCGTAGGAAATAATTTTGTGATCGCGTCAGTTCAGACGGCTCGCGAATCGGAGTTATGGAGCTCATGTTATGACCAATTAATCAGGTATTTTGGGTCCGAAGCCCAATCCTTTTAGAAATGGGACCATTAAATAAACCTAAACCTAAACCACACAAACCTTATCTTTTTCGTTCGCCCTTCTTCTTCTTCTTTTTCCTTCTTCTTCTTCTTCTTCTTCTTCTTTCTTCTTCGTCTTCCCCAGCCATCGTCGCCGTCCAATTGGAGCAGCCAGCCGCCGGTCGTCCGCCGTTCGACCACGCCGGCGTCGCGCAAGCCAGAGCCTCCTCGCCGCAGCCAATCGCCGCCGCCCCGTCGCTCACCGCCAGGTCCAGCGCCGCCGACCACGGTTCCCAATCTTCGAGCCGCGGTCGTCGCCTCCATTACCGGCGTCGTTCTCGCCGTCGATTGCAGCACCGCCACGCCAAACGCCGGACGTTGCCAAACGCCGTTGTTTCGCCTTCGCCGGAATCGAGCGCCGCCGTCGCCCTTAGCACAGCGGCCATCCTTGCCGTCGAGCTGCAGCGCCGCTGTTTCGCTTTCGTCGGTCATCCGACGCTGTCGATTGCAGCGCCGCCAGTCGCTGCTCATCGCCGTCGAGCTGCCGCTTCGCCACTGTCGCCGGCGTCCGTCACCGTCGTCGCATCCAGCCGCTACCCCGAGTTGATATCGCCGGCAGATTAACCTCCACGCCGGATTGATTGGTCGATTTCGTATTTTGACTCAATTTGACCCGTTCGTTTGATTTCGTTGATTTGTCTTCCGTTCGAGCTATCGATTCGATTTCAGCGTAATCCAGGTCCGTACTATGAAGTTAATAGCATTTAGAATAGATTTAATGGTTTGGATCGTTATATGTGTTTATGCTATAATTTGGCTAAATTAGTTAATTGAATTAAATTGATTATTTGAATTGAATTGTTGAGGATTGTGAATTGACTGAACAGGTTTGACTTTGACTTGGGTTAGGTCACGTTTGACTTAGGCTTTGACTGGATATTCTGTCGACGTAGGTTTGACCGAATGGTTAAATCCAAGACTTTAATGAATTAGTTAAGTTAATTAATTAATTCTAATCGGTGATTAATGGGCTGGCTTTCCGCGTAGCCCTCCACTCTAGACACCCTGCTGTGTTGGGGCTCATCACAGAGATGAGGGTCAGAGCACCCGATCCGACCGGGTCGCCAACCACCTCATAGTCTATAGAATGTGCCTGCCTGGGGAACCTTCACCCTTAACCGCTCCTTGGCTTGTGGGTTCTGGTTCCGCCCCTTGTGTCCTAGCCGCTGGAACGCTGACCATCGTGAACTTTCCAGCTGGACGGCTTTGCCATGCAGCTTTTTTTAGCCCCTCAGAATATCCCAGTCTTCGTCCCTGCTGCGTACAGAACGCACGTCCCCGTCGGGTGTGACCTGAGTGGGGAGTTTGTGGGATCTGCTCCTCCTGGACCGAGAAGGACCTTCGCTCTCCAGCTCCCCAGCCAGATCTGTCGGGATGACTGATCAGGTGGTACTAGCCGGTTGAAATGGCGGGGGATGCCCCAGCGTGTTAGGAAAAGATTTATTTTGAGCCAGAGCATGGGGATACATCCCAGGGATGAAAAGAGTAAATCCCCGGGGTTGTTGGAACATGGGCAGCCTTCAAGCCGGCCAGTCTTCAAGTCATCCACCTAGGCAGTCTTCAAGCCGACCAGTCTTCAAGTCATCCACCCAGGCAGTTTTCAAGTCATGATCTTACCGGTCTGATCCCCAACATTCACCCGGTTAGATTAACGGGGATGGTGAGGCCAAGCCTAGTCAGACTTTAAGCCTTTTGCGAATGAAGTCACGATCCCATAGGTCTGACCCCTGACATCCACCCGGTCAGATTACCGGGGTCGGTGAGGTCAGGTGGGATCATACTTCGGTAGCTCCTAGGGGCCTGTGAACTTACCGGGTGGTACCAATGGGTTATACCCATCAATAATAATAATAATAATAATAGTAATAATAATAATAATAATAATAATAATAATTTTTGATGGGATCTGATCTGATCTGATCTAGTCTGATCTTATTTGATCTGATTTGATTGGATTTCATCTGATCTGATCTGATTTGATCTAATCTGATTTTAATAAAAGTAAAAAAAGTAGAAAAATAAATTGAATGGAAGAGGGCCTAAATCTAGATTTTTGAATTTGAAATTCAAATTAGGATCCTAATGCAATTTTTTAAGAGGAATTTACTCAAATATGACTAAAACATAATGACTTTCTCTAAATAACATCACATGTGCTTTTTTTCAAATGTAGCACTTTTAGGGTATGTTTGGATTGAGGTAGGTAAAATTTTATTAGGTAGGTAATAGAAGGTAGGTAATAAAAAGTAGGTAATAGAAGGTAATAAATTAAAAATTGTGTTTGGATATTTATTAGGTAAAGTAAGGTAGGTAAAATAATGAAATTACCTAAATACCCTTGAATAAAGCAACAAACGAAAAAATAGAAAAACAACAAAATAGGAAAAACAGCAAAAAAAGAAGAAAAAAAAGAGTGAAGTTACTTGGCCGAAATGGGAACAGTGTGCCCACTTGAAAACAAAGATCCATGACCATCGGAAAAAAGACGCCGGAAATGACGACTTTGGATCTGATTCAGGCCGGCAATAGCGGAGAATTGAAGCTGGGACGACATCGCCGCCATCTTCACAGCTCCGGAGATCCGGTAAAAGGGGCCGTGATATTTGGTTTGCAACGCTAAAGATGAAGAAGTGGGCAGCAAAGGGTTGAATCAGTTGAAGAAGAAGAGGTGCAAGTGTGCGACAAAGGAGAAGGGCAAAGCGGAAAAGAAAAGTTCTACCTCCTATGACCGTCGATTCGGCGGTAACCCATTTTTCACTATTGAGCAGTAACGTTACCTCTATCTACCTCCTCTTACCCATCTTCCATTTCACTCCAAACAAGGTAACTTATCAACTTTACCTTACCTTACCTCCTCTTACCTCCAATCAAAGACAACGTTAGTCATTATGTATTAGTCATTATTCAAGTAAATATTCGTCATTACTGGACATTATCGATATTATTAAATGCTATTTAAATAATAAAATAATTTAAGTGCTATTTAGAGAAATGACTTCAGTTTTAACAAATATTTTTATTATTATTGTTTTTGTCCTGCCACATCTTAACCAAATTCAGAAGTCTAAGCTCTACCGTCTTCCACGGTTCCACCTAATTCTGCTTTGCGTGTAAATCAGTAAAACCACCATTGTTTAAGAACATGTTGCGCAAATCAATCCCAATTGCTCGGAAGAATGTATAGTCATGGACACATATTTTGCTTTACTGGTTGATCGTGTGTTGTTTGTATCTAAGAATGATGGCGGAAGTTAAAACGTTGAATCCTGCTCCGCCGCTCCTCAACCCACCGCCGCCGGGTCTTAGCCGCTTCCCGGCTCTCAATCCTCCACACAAGACCCTGACTTTTCATCAGATCTTGGTCCTTCTCCTCACCTTCACAGCTTACGCCGCCTTCCACGCTTCCCGCAAACCTCCAAGCATTGTTAAATCTGTGATCGGCCCAGATCCCAAAACCCTCAACACCTCCAGCATCAGTAAGGCGGCAGGGAATTTTACAGGATGGTCACCGTTCGACGGCCCAAGCGGACCCCACAGACTTGGGGAGCTCGATCTGGCCTTTCTGTTATCTTACTCTGTGGGGATGTATTTTGCGGGTCATATAGGTGATACCATTGATCTGAGGCTTTTCTTGACATTGGGAATGGTGGGGAGTGGGGTATTTGTTACAGCCTTTGGGTTGGGTTATTTTCTTGATGTGCATAGGCTGTCGTTCTTCGTGGGTGTTCAGGTTTTGTGTGGATTGTTTCAGTCAATCGGGTGGCCTTGCGTGGTTGCAGTGCTGGGGAATTGGTTCGGGAAGGCGAAGAGGGGGCTCATAATGGGGGTCTGGAATTCTCACACGTCCGTAGGGAACATCATAGGCTCCCTAGTTGCCTCCTCAGTTTTGGGTTTTGGCTGGGGATGGTCTTTTGTGTTGCCTGGGGTTTTCATTGTGGCCATGGCAATCCCAGTCCATCTGTTTCTTGTTGTGAGACCCGAAGATATTGGGTTTGAAATTGCAGCCGGGGCGAATGCAGAGGGAGTGGCATTGGTAAACTGCGAGGATGGAGGGGATGTAGTGGTGGAAGAGTGTAATAAGAGTGATGGAGGAGGCTCTGTAGCTATTGGGTTCTTGGAGGCATGGAAGCTACCAGGGGTTGCCCAATTCGCACTCTGTCTGTTCTTCTCAAAGCTTGTGGCGTACACATTTCTGTATTGGCTGCCCTTCTACATAAGGCATACACCAGTTGCTGGAGTACACTTGTCACACAAAAATGCAGGAATCATTTCATCAGTATTTGACATTGGAGGGGTGATTGGAGGGATCTTGGCGGGAGTTATTTCCGATTTTCTTGAAGCCCGGGCGATGACATCAGCTGTGTTCTTACTGCTGTCTATTCCGGCTCTTGTTCTGTATCGCATTTATGGGAGCACATCCATGTTCACTAATGTAGCATTGATGCTCGTTTCTGGTTCGCTCGTCAATGGGCCCTACGCTCTCATCACAACCGCGGTCGCAGCTGACCTTGGCAGCAGCACTCGGGCTGGGAATTCCCGTGCTTTGGCTACCGTGACTGCTATCATAGACGGGACTGGTTCGGTGGGAGCCGCACTGGGCCCACTCCTCGCGGGGTATATATCAACTAGAGGGTGGAACAGTGTCTTTTTCATGCTTATTCTCTCATTATCTATTGCAGGGTTGTTATTGCTCCCTGTTGTCAGAAAAGACATTGAGGACAAGATGAAGGAGGGGAAATGGCTTTGGTTTACAAGGATTGTCATGCACTAATTCTTTATATATTAGCTGTGTCATGCCATGCCATGCCATGCTTTGCTTTGGATACCTATAGTTTCTGTGTCTGGTTTCATCATATATCTCATAAAGCTCAATTCACAAAATGTATTGTAATTGGAGAATACACACACCGAAAACCCCTTGACACAACTCCGGGTAACACTACATGGATGTATTTTTTGTATAGTTATGGGTATACAAACTCGTGCGATTCACGGGAATAAATTTTATCAAAATTTGAATTATTAATACTAAAACCGGTATGTCTTGAGTTCCACTTGAGGGCATTGTTGCAATCTATTGTGTGGATAGAAGAAGTAGCATCTGCTTGCTTTTGTTGAATCCTTTTCCAATTGGGTAAGTGTGTGATTTTAGGAGGGTCAAGACCTCTTGGATACCTTTTATGCATGAATGAGGCGCATAGAGAGTTATTATTCGTGAAGCTCCATGAAGTTTGGTTTAAAAAATTTGATAGGAAAAAGAAAACAAATGAAGGTAAACAAAATTTTCTTGTTTGCTTAGAGTGGAAATGAAAAGAAAAGTAGAAGGAAAAGATAATAAGAAGACAAAATGTACTAAGAGGACCGAAAATAAAGTTCTTCCTATCTTGATGATAAAAATTCATTTTTTTCCTTTTTTCTTCAATATCTCTTGAACCATTATTACTTATTATCTATACTTTATTTAAAAAGACACGGATTCAAGAGATGGTTTTCCCGCCCATGCATTATTGCATTAACAAATGTCAAATGTTCACTTAAAATGGTAATGACTCAATTACATTAAATACTTACGCGTGTTTCGTATTGTTAACTTAAAATGGTAATTAACATGACACGGTATTAACCATAATATTACAAATGGCAATTAATATTACACGGTATTCACAAATGATAATTTATACTTTATTTAAAAAGAGGAGAATGTTTTCCTGCCCATACATGAGACTCATGTATGGAAAGTGTTAACAACACAAATGGTAGTTTAATTATTTTGCCTCAATATTTTCTACCCATTTTAAGTATGTTTTCATTTTTATTTAAATGTTACACCATTTAAGTATTTAAATTAAATTAAATAAATTAAATAGAAGTGAATCACTAGGGAATTATAGTATGGAAATAAAATACAGTACCATTTAAATATGAAAATAAAATTAAAAAACTACAAATTTATAAAGTATGGGCGGGATTAGAATGATTTGTTTAAAAAAACGACGTACAAATGGTAGGTTTTCTAAAATAAATTAGAAAATAAAGTAAATATCAAAATGGTAAGTGTTCTAAATATATTAGAAAATAAATACGGTACGGTAAGTAAATGATACCATTTTAATACAAAAATAAAATAGAAAAACTACAAATTAATACTATTAATTAATACTACAATTTACAAGCATGGAAACATATAAAAATGGTACGTGTTATCAAATAAATTGAAAAATAAATACGGTACAATAAGTAAATGGTATCATTTAAATGCAAAAGTAAAAAAATTATAAATTAATACTATTAATACTCTAAGCATGGAAACATGTAACAATGGTAAGTATTCTAAAATTAATATTGTACTATTAATACTATAATTTACAAGCATGGATACATGTAAAAATAGTAAGTGATCTAAAATAAAATAGAAAGTAAATACCATAGGGTAAGTAAATGGTATCATTTGAATACGAAAATAAAATTAAAAAACTACAAATTCCAAAATAAATACATTAATATGTTGAATTATTGCTTAGATAAGTCAAATTATTGAACTTTGTCAGAGACAATATCTGAAACATGTTGAATTATTATTACGGAAACTTGTATTTAGTCATGGCCAACTGTATGTTGCAGTTACAGGAGTACTAAATCACAATGGCTTGAAAATCCTGATATACAACGAAGTGAATGCTCACACGAATTATACGAGGAATGTAGTTTCTAAAGAACTCTTTCAAAATTAATAAATCATTTTATTTTTGTACTCTAAAATAATGAAATCTCTACATTCCAATATATATCAATTTATATTCTTAAAAATGATATTAATTTAATAACGTAACTATGACCCGTGCAACGCACGAGTGTGATACTAGTTTATTCTTATTGGACTCAAAACAGATTAGATCATAAATAACTTTCAATATAACTATAATCATTAGTCTTACAATTTACAAACTGATTCCCACCTGGCCCAAAATTTTGGCCCCACGAATGTTTCAAGGCATTGGCAGGGTGATCATCTGGTCTTGCTTACGGAAGGAGCCTCAAATTTCGATTCTATTTTGTATAGACTTGACAAAACAGAACCGGAACCAATTACTCGAATCGAATTATCTGAAACCAAAACTGAAATGGTCTGAAAAAGTTAGGATCCGATCTATAACTGAAAACTCGAAATAATCCGAGTCGATCCAAAACCGAACTAAATAATTTATATCCGATTTAAATCCAAAACTGATTTAGATCCGAAATCGATAACATCCAAACCGATTAAACCTGAAATCGATTAGATCCGAAACCGATAATACCCAAAACTGATAAAAACCGAAACAGATTATATCCGAACCCGATTAAAACTAAACCTGATAAATTCGAAACTGTGTTTGCCTTCCAATAAGTATATTGCATTTTTAAATTTTTACTTTTATTTTACCATTTGAACTAATTACATTACTTGCTCATTCCCTCACAAAATGGATTACCATCTTGAAAAAAATTACAAAATCTCATGCCTTAAAGTTATTATATTTAGAAATTGAAGATAAGTTATGCATATAAAATATTGGATGAATAAACTGAGCCAACTATTTTGTTATTAACAAAATTAAAGGAAATAAAATATTTGAAAAACAAGGTGAAACATCAATTGAAAGAAATTAAGTCTAAGATTTGAAGATGAGTGGAATTGAAAAATAGGTTGAATAGTGGCGTAAGAAAACTAATAAGATTAAGGAGGGAAAGAAAAAAGGAATGAGGGAAACTTTGAGCTTTAGGGGGGAAATTAGACATAAAAAAAATTAAATCTTTGATTAGATATTATATG